AAAAGCCCACAGCAAATAGTTCACTATCCAGGCACCTTTCCCCTTGTTAAAAAAGAAAAAGAAAAATTGTGCTTAATTGAATTCAATGTGCACATGTTGTGTACTTCAAATCTTAAAAGTATATTTCTGAAAACTGCACTTCCAGATAAAGTGATATTAATGAATAAAGGACTTAAGTACACTTTACAAAAAAAATATGTCAAATTAAAAGTTTTACTTTAAAGTACATTTTAAATCATTAATATAATAACTGTTCCTTATCCTTTAAAGAATTGCACTGTATGTTGATGTGTTGGCTAACATACTAAAGCACATGTAAAGTACTTTATTTTAACTGTAGTGCGTTATTCAATATCACATCTAAAGTTAATATATTTTAAATGTACTAAATTGCTACCTCATCCACAAATGTGCAATTACAAATATATTTAAATACAAGGTACATAAGCTTCAATAGAAATTACATTTAAGTATATTTTAGTTTGCAGTAAATGCTTGTCAGTAAATTCAATAGAGGTAATTATGAAATTACATATGAAGATGTACTTGTGTGGGCCAAAAAAAAAAAAAAAAGACTCAGAAGTTCAGGTTAATTGTATTAAATATTAATACATTTTCATTGAATTGTAATTAAAGGGATAGTTCACCCAAAAATGAAAATGTTGTGATTATTTACTCACCCTCATGTCGTTCCAAACCCGTAAGACCTCCGTTCATCTTCGGAACACAAATTAAGATATTTTTGATGGAATCTGAGAGCTCTTTTTCAACAATTCAACAATTCATCTCCTCCGCGTCACATCAGCTTGGTGCACGCGGATACGCTGTTTACGTCGTTTACGCTTTGATTTGAACAAACCCTTGCTATGTTTCTGGACATTTATCGTGTAAGGACCCTTGCTGTCTATGGGAGGGTCAGAGAGCTCTCAGATTTCATCAAAAATATCTTAATTTGTGTTCCGAAGATGAACGGAGGTCTTACGGGTTTGGAATGACATGAGGGTGAGTAATTAATGACAGAATTTTCATTTTTGGGTGAACTAACCCTTTAACATGCATCTAAGTATCTGAAAGCATTACATTCAGGTCACACAGGATATTCTTTCAAAGTATATTATTATTTGAATAATACATACTCTTTTTATAAGTATGTTAAAGTATACTTCTGTTTAACAATGGTTGGCACACTATTTTCAGCATACTATGATTTAGGCCACATTAACCTTAATCTCGTATACCATACGGCCCAGGATTGGGATGCAGCCATCAGTAGCACACAGCGCTATGCCCCTGAGATGTTTATGCAAGCAGGCGGTACAGCATCGTGTGGACCAGTGCCAGACAGCCACGAAACATGAGAAATATGGTTGCAAGTGCAACAAAGATTTCTTTCAGGTCAGAGGGCTGGTTTTGTCCTGAAGCTGTCCCTCGAAAGGTGCTGGAGAAGGTCGAAAAGGTCGGAGAAAAACAGGGAACGTAACCAGCAGGTTTAATTAGTACATGTGTAGTTATTTTCTGTCCACAGGTAACAGCTTTCAACCCCAGTCAGACCGAATACACCCATCAAATCTGCATTTTGATCAAACGGTACTTAGCTTAGCGTAATTTGTGCTAGCCTAGAATCTCATTTATTTAAAAAGTGAATATTAAGATTATTTCTGTCAACAAGGTACTTAAACAAAAGACTAAAGAGTCTAGATAATAAAATATAGTTCATAATGTTGTACAGATAAAATCGCTATACTAAACCATTAGCTGTGCTTGCTAAGGCTAGTCTCACTATTATATTGCAATATGAGGTTATAGATTTGAACTAAACTTTGTTGTGTAACTCATCCCACAATAATATAAATGCCTCATTCATTCATTCATTCATTCACATTGTTTGCATCAGACATAAATGATACCTCAAATCTTGTGGCTAGTTGAGTAGAAATGCTAATACTTAGCAGATTAGCTAATGATAAAATGGCTAGAAAACCACACAGCAACATGATTAACACTGTGCAGATGTTTTAATGAATTCAGTTTACGCATCTAGTGTCCAATTTAGGACCCTAAAGTGATTCCATTGGCCACAAAAACTTTTATTGACAATGTCTTATATGTATTAGTATATAACCAAAGCTATAGACTGTGAAATGAAACATTTCTCATTCTTCATTTATTTAGATACTAGCGTATGTTTTGCATACTATTTGTTATACTATCATACTGATAGCTGACTAGCCTATTAGCTTAGCCTGTAGAGCATCCAAATAACATATTTTTTATTTAAAAAGGAATTCCTATAACAATTTGAGTGTTATATTTTTATCCATATTATTTGTATTTGTTTCGTCAGGCATTAAGAGTGTATCTCCTTGAGGAATGAATGGCACGGGGGATCTAAGTCTCCACAACGCTAGCGAGTTTTGCCCATTCAACCACTCAAATTTTCTTCCGAAATGTAAAAATATACTTTTGGTTTATTGTTAAATACACAACTAGTCAAAAATCAAATGATGACGTTCAAGTTGCTGTATCCCTGCTGGGGAAAATAAAAAACAGCTAAAACCAGCCTGGTTGGCTGGTCTTAGCTGGTTTAAGCTGGTTTTAGCCTGTCTCCTAGCCTGGCTGAGTTGATCAAACTAGTGTCCCAGCCTGGCCAAGCTGGTTTTGGCTTGTTGGTCAGCTGGTCTCCCATCCTGACCAGCTGATGAAATGGTCAAAACCCATCTAAAACCAGCCTGCAAACCAGATATGACCAGGCTGGAAGACTTTTTTTTATTTCAGGAGGGTCATCAGGCATTAAGTTTGGTTATATCTCTTTGTGGAATAAACTACACGGGGGACACATTTCTCACATTTCTTCTGAATTGTAATTTGGTTTATTGTTGAATACACAATCAGTCAAAAATCAAATGACAGCGTTGAGGTAACTTGAGTATGTTACGGTAACGTGACACTTTTACATTGATTTTAGCAAGTACACTTGTTGTGGATTGACGGGAACCTTTTTTAAGGCTTCAAACTGCAGTTGTAGAATTACTCATCAGCAATAGAAGTTTGTACCAGTGTAGGTGGAGTTTATGTGTTTGATTGTGTATTTGCTTGTGCAAAATTGCAAATGTGCTTTGAGTGAGAGAACATACTTCAGGAAGTGGTTGATCACCCTTTGAGATCACCACCTACTAATTTATTGTAATGTCTGTTTGAGGTTTTATACCTTGTTTTACACTTACACTAAAACTTAGCATGGTTTTATTTTTCATTTTTAGCCAGTTTTGATACATCTAATGTGATGAAACCATTTAAAAACCTGAACCTCATCAAAGCGGATATATTTAGCCCATCAACATTCACACTAATACTTGGTATCATCGGCACAGGTTTCGGCAGGAAGTTCATTTTATAGACTCCGGCACGCATCTTCTTTTTACAGAAAAAGCGGAAAAATGATTAATTTGACTTACAGTTTCCCTTAAGTGCTAAAGAGAAGTAAAGAAAAGAGGAATTCACATTTGCATGTACTTTTGATTCACTATATTTTAATACACAAGGGTCTATAAGAACTCTTTGAATTCTCATCTCGTACAATCAGTCTCTTTGAATTCTCTTCATTGATAATTGATATTTGAAGTTCATTACTATCTTACTCTGTTATCTGTGTTCATACAGTCATAGGTTGTCACTTTGAGTTTTCATCTTTGCACGCCTCTCTCTGTGCTACTTCCTCAAACAGGCGGGAAACCAAAAAAAGAGAGGAGAGAAAAAAAATAAGAACAAGCAAGGAAGTGGTATCTTGCAGCGCTACCTACATGCAGAGTAGCTTGCAAAGTGAGAAATAGTCAAGAAGCATTTATGTAAATTGAGGATGAAAAGTTAATATCATAATGTTTTACGAAACCGTTTTAATGTGTACATGAGCCATGTTTAATTCATAAATGTCACTTAGACAATCAGATATTAGATTGGTTTGGTCATATTAAACAGGCATATTCAGTGCATAGAAGATAATCATATCATACTTAAAATACAATATATGGAAATATACATTAGCAACGTTTATACTATTATGCTTAAGTGATGGGGTACAGAGCCAAACCCTTTGGCCATGATTGTATTCACAATATGGCTTCCAGTAACATATTGATTTTTAAAAAATTGTATAAAACCATTGAAGTGACAGCAAAATGTTGAGAAATTTTGAACATTCTTTCTTCTTCCCCTGTAGAAGATGGCCTGTTCTGGTACATTATGTACACTAAGGTTATTAGTGGTCTGAGAGTACCCCATAATGTACTTAGTGATGAACAATCAGAAGCCAGTTTATGTATGTATGTATGTATTCATTCATTCATTCATATTGCAGTATTTGTGAAAAATATATCAAATTAAGTCTAAAATATTCAAATTAATATATTTGATTATAT